CTCTCTTGTAGATTTTTGGAGAAAGTTAATGAAATGAATTTCATCAAAATGAAGTTACTCGGTACTTGGTGCTTATGCGCGTAAACTATTTCCGTAGAATGGAGTTTATTCGGATCTGGCTGGCTTCAATATTTTTTTTCTTGGTGCATTTGTTTTGGATTGCTTTTCTGTTCTTTGGGGTTCCTTGACCTCTCTGACTTTTGTTTGGTTCTATTTCATCCAACCGTTGCAACACAATTTATTTCATTCTATCAAAACAGACGGAGAAAATTCAATTAATTAACTTTGTGAAAGGACTATTCTATATTTTAGATGACTTGTTAAAGAAAGATTTGGGAGCCATTGCTTGGTTCAATGGTAGGCCGTCAAGATTAGGGGTGAAAAGCCAACAAGATCTTTGGGAATAATGTTGCACAGGCTGAAGGTTTCATCACTATTTTGATGGTTTTCTGCTAATCATCTTACATGATTTGGTGGGATGGGGTTGCTAGTTTGCTACAGCCTACAGACTACTACTTGCTAGGCTGCTATTAGTTGAGCTGTGGAGGGAATCCAAAAACTTATCTCAGAATGCTTACTCTCAACACTAATTAACTAATATTGGAAGTTCAATAGGAAATCCATTTCCTCCCCTTGGCAGAAATGGTTCCAATGTTATTGTTAGGAGAAAGTTCTTCAATTACCAATCTCACGTTGGGTAGGCTAATGTCGGTTAGTAGTATTGTTCAAGAAGTAAACGCGGTTCCAACTTCCAACTTGGTGTGCAACTCGGGCTGAGTTGTTTCAGGTCGAGGTCATCCCTAGCCCAATCTGTTGTGTTAAAAACTTATTAAACGCTCAACCTCAACCCAGTCAAACCCAATCTTAAATTCATGGTCCTTGACCCTAATTCAATCTAATTAAATTATTAAATTGGGTGTACAATATTAACAATAATCACAATTGTAACAACATATCGGGTTCTGGTTGGGTTGGGTTGGATTACCCAAAGCCAAAAGTTATGGAAACATCTCAAGTTGCAGGCATTGTTAGTGAATGGTCATCATATTTTCCAGTTCCAGATTAATTTATAGAAGAATAAATGCTTATTCTTAGGTATGGTGGTGGTGTGTCACTAAGAATTTATATTCGGCATCCAAACCAAAACCAAGAGCAAGGGAGACAATAAATTGGCTGGCTCATAGGAACTTCTAGTTCTAGTGGAAGGCTAGTTCTACTGACATTCCAAATTACTTTATATAAAGTGAAGAAACTCTATTTATTATTCCCTTTCTGGCCTGCAACTGCAATTTGTTTGATATACGGCGGTAAAATTTATTCTACACAGTTTATGCACAAGTGAGAGACGTTAAAAAAGTTTTCTTGTGTAGCCGCACAGGTTGACTGACTTTTATCCACCACCAACCACACGGGACTGCAGCTGGCTACTCTGCCTTGTGTTATAAATTGCCATTAATATTTATATTTAATAGGGCTGGGCTGCATTGTTTTGATAGGATAGGAAGTTAGGAACTAGGAAGCAAGCATCAGATTGGAGATTGGGTAGAATAGATACATGGCCACAGCCTAAAGATAGTAAAGCTACAGAACCAGAAATTAGCTCATCATTCACATTTCAGTTCACTCACTCACACATTGACATTTCCAATAGAAAAAGAATGACTGGGGCAGTCTCCAATTAATAAAAGTTCATTGACTTTGATAACTTTCCACTGTTTAAAGTTGAAACAATTTCTTCTCTTTCCCTAGGGGCTAGGGCGGTCAATCAAAGCTTGTACTCCAGAATCTTTTGAGGCTGAGCCTGAGCAGCCATCTCCATTCTCAACCGTTTGAAGTTTGAACCACAAGACAACCACCACATATCCATGCCGGAACAGGATTCTCATACTTCTGTTTCCCTTTCACCGACCAACCATTGAATTATATGCCTCCTGCTCTAAGCTCTACAATTGACTTCTCTCTCTCTATATATATATATATATTTATTTATTTATTTAACAAAACAGGAGACAATAGGAGTATAAATAAAATTACTGAAAAGATTCAAAGGATTACTATTTACTAGCACCCGGCCATGGCGTGGCAACATCATTCCTCAGATAATGAAGGTGACTGGATGGGTGAGAAACAAAATATATGATCCATATTAGCTCAAGTGAATGGACTAGTACCATGCTTTGCTCCACACATAATCCACAGAGAAGTAGTCTTGAGTTGAGGCCGAGAGTCCTTATCAGTAAAACACATCAATCACATATAGTTAAATGTGTCATTTTTTTTAAAGTTTTTTACATGCTCACCAAGCAATTAGTATCTCCTTACACCTCTGAAATCTCTGACTCATTTTGGCTATCGGGTCATCACTCACAGGTCAAATGGTCCGACCATCTTGGTCTAGTTGCCCGATTCACCAAAAGATTAAAAAAAAAGTAAATTAAATAATTAATCAAATTTTATATTCAACACTTTGATGTTATGCTTTAATTATTAAACCTATGTTACATCAAGACAAGTTAAAACAAGCATTGTAACAACACCTACCACTCTACCAATGCAGACTTTTAATGGAGCTGTACCAAGTCAACATTTCTGAAAACTGGGCATCTGGACAGAGCAACCGTTTTTGGTGTGGGGTGGTGGTCCGACCATCTGGTCGGATCCTTGTCAGGCAAAAAGAAAGTTCAACAACATATATTCCCTATTGGCAACGGCAAGGAAAAGTTTTTATTGAGTTCCAAAATTGCCCATAAGCATGAAATGACAAAGATGCTTGAAGGAGTGGAGGTGATGAGGTCAGGTGGTGGAATTACAAAGGTCCAATTGATTTTAGTTTTTCCTTTGGATTTGGATTTGGGTTTGGATGGTCTACCACGGCCAACCCACGTGATTGACAAAAGGGGAGAAGGGGGGGAGCCCCAAGTCAGCAACCATCTACGATCTCTCACCTCTCATCCTTTCGTCTCTTTGAACCTGAAAGTGAAATATGAATGAAAAAGGTGACGTGAAGAACTCCAACAGCCTTAGATGATTCTAAACCCCTATTACAAGAAACTCTGGTCGGCAATTTTTTTACTTTTCTTTTCCAGTTTTCCTCTCAAACGTAATTAAAAAAAAAAAAATATTGAAGTCAATCACTTAGCCATGGTCCAAGCTCCATAGACGTTGAGCACTTTTTATTTTTTATTTTTTACAATATTAATATTATTTAGTATATGTCGTCCACCGTGTCTCTGTCCCACACATGTGAGAGGGTTCTGAGTTCTGACCCACCATTTGATGGGTGCCACCATAAGATTTCATACATCAGGATTTCAGAAGATGATTGTGACGAACTGACGATCTATTATATAATCTCCTGTTTTGTTTGTTGTTAATTTTATTTTACCAACTCTCAAAAACATTCGAAGCATTTTAGGGCTATTTTGGTTTGATTCGAATTTTTCTTTTTGGGAGGAGGGCTTGATTGTACAATAGAAAGAGCTAAGATAGGTACTTCCTGGCTTAATATAATATTAAAAGATTTCAAGGCATTTGAATTTCCGCTCAAAACCCCTAGTTCCCTGATTCCACTCTGCTAGAGAATTGGACCTTGCCTTCTCAATGCCCTCTGTTAATTCCATTTTCACTGGGAAGTACCAAGAAAAGCTTCAAGTGCATCTGTACTATTGTCATTGACATAGACAATACTTGGGGCGTCTGGAACCCAAACCTCCAATGCACCCAGCAAGAATGTCTATCTCTAAACAAGATTCTGTCTCATTAGCAGTCAGAACCATATTCCATATAATGCAGCAAAAACAAAATCATTTTCCATATAATTAGGAATTCATTTCATAATCCGAGAAAAGAAAACCTATTAAATATTAGCCTAATTAGGGCTGTTGAGAATTGGGATCTGTTCCTCACACTGGGCACCTCACAATGACCTCATAGGCACATCCTACCGTGCATTGGGAGCATCTCCCATAAATAATAACATGCAAATACGGAAAATGTTCTCAATGCACAGCGGGATGTGCCTGTGAGTTCATTGTGAGGCGTCCTGTGTGAGGAACAGATCCATCTCGACTGTTGAAATGCAACTTAGTGGTGATTCAATTCTGTGGGTTATAACTTCTGACTCCTTGTTTTTGCAGATTTTAGATTTCTTAGGGAAGAGATTTAATTTCAGCTCTGTGGTATTGGTTCTTAAGTAAGGTTCTGAACCCAGGAGAGATTAGAAAGAAGAGGGAAAAAAGCAATACAAGAACTGCATAATTGCAATGCAAAACAATACCACAATAGGAAGGAATACCTCTTGAAGTCTTCCTATTTTACAGAAAACCATTTTTCTAAGTCCAATCTCTAGTAAACAAACTATTCTTCTGACTTCTGAGTGCTACTTATAGATAGCATGTTTCTCATGCAAACATGGGTCATTTCTTTTAAGTAGAATCCATAAACAAGGTTGTACTAAAACCAGTTACATTATACCATTAAATTGGGCGCTGTCGATCAAATCAAAATAAAACTAAAAGGGGGATAATTCAGTTGGAATTGGATCTGTATAAAATTAAATATGTCGAGTATTGGAAAATCGACTATGAAACAGGTCCAAAGTCTGGGACATCGATCCCATTAATCGGGCATTAAGTTCTTTGAGGGAATTTCACTTCTTTCCCATATTGAAAGGAGGAAGGAAGGAAAATCCCATGCATGTGCAGAAATTCTAACATCAAGTTCATCTTCATGTGCTTGCCTAAAAGGGATCCCCTTTGACAAAGTTATGATAAATATGTGCCCTTTCTCACTCTTTCCACCCTCTTTCCTCCTTCCTTTCCCTTCTTTGGATGCCTCTCTTTCTCCATATGCTTTTCTCTTTCCTTTCTCTGTGGCTTCTCTTTTCCAATAAAATCATTTGCCTTTTAATAAAAAGAAAAAGAAAAAAAAAAAGAAAGAAAGAAAAGGTGTAGATACCCTGCAGCAATAAGTTGCAATCTCCTCCCTATCATGATTCATGATGCTTTAATTATTTGTGCATTTATTCGAAAGCACGTAGCTAAATATTGATATTAATTTAATTCCCACAATATGATTGAATTAGTCCCCAAATAAGCCCATTGATGCCAATTTCTTCTTGCTTCTTTCAGTTCTCTTGGTTTTAACCATTACGATGGACAACAAGAGACATACAGAAGTGATGGAAAATTTAGAGTTAATAATCGGATTGGTCATTCTCATTGGGTTTCCTAGAAGGCAACTACTGATACAAACTCAACTCAAGCAGCTTCATGGGTCTCTTCTCTACATGGAGACGAAGAAAAACTATTGCAACTACTGCTCTCTTCGTGGTCCGAACCATTAGAACTGACTTCGGTGATCCCACTCGAAGCTGAAGACGAGGAAGAAGACGACGACGGAGAAACTGAATTGATTCTGTCTTTGCTCATGAAATCAATGAAACTAGGCCTAGCCATCCCGAGGCTCCGAACTCTGTTCTCCTTGCAGGGTTGGGAGATTTCCTCCTCACTTTTTGTGCTTCGTTTCTTTAGAAATATGCGACAAAGAACCCAATCCTCCATTTGAATCATGGAATTCTGGGGATAGTTCAACAAGAGAAGACAAATTAATAATGCAACAAATAGGTGTTACTGAAAAGCTTTTATTAAATTACTAAAAGAAATGGGTTTTATCTTAATTCTCAATCCACTTTGTAAGTGTGTGTACTACTGTTTGATTCCCAAAGTGAATGGACACACAAAAGAGACTGCTTACTAAGACCAGAAACTTACTTGAATCGAGTTCTTCCTCTGTGGGTGTGGGGAAATGCAAACTGTTGTTCCGGGGACAACCAGGCGATATTCATGCATAACCCAGTCAGTTCTTGTTCCACGGGGAGGTTTCCCTTGGTAGAAAACAAGTGTTTTTTTCATCCCCACCACTTGGTTGCTTCTTGAAGCTACAATTTGCTTGTCTAAGCCTGTAGCTTTCCAGTAACCCGAGCCAGTTGCTCTGTTGGATCGGTTTCCATTCGGATACTTGGCTTCCCTGGCGCTGAAGAAGTATCTCTCATTCTCCAAATCACCTGAACACCAAAAACCCACAAATAAGGGCCTCAGGGGGGGGGGGAGGAAGAAGAAGACGAAACAGAAGCCCTAGAGCTTTATAGAAGGGTCCATGTGTTAATGTCTTAAAACTTCCAAGTTGTAGTGGTTATTAGTGAGGAGGACTCAGGAGGGGGAGGCCATGAGGCCCATGATTTTGATTTTTGAGCTTCAATTTTTAACTATCCCCTATTTGAGCGTGGTCACATTATCCCCCTACTCATTTGGTCAAGCTCCTAGGTTCACCAATCGCATATATATTACAGCTTAATTATTACTCAGTGAGATGTGCTTCCTTTGTTTGAGTCCGCACCGGAAAAAATAAGAGAGCAGGAAGAAGTACGAAGAGAAAAATGATTAAGAACTGTACGGATTTGTTCACAGACCTGGCAAATCCCAAGGATCGTACTTGCAGATATCCACCTCAGGAATGATCGAGGCGGGCAATGGGCATGAGAACACCTTGCGCTTCAAGTATTGAAGGACTAGCTCTTCGTCTGTGGGATGAAATCTGAAGCCCGGGGGTAGCCTGATCACTCCATTCCTAACAAAATTGAACTTCTCCATGGTCGAACTCGGCCTCGAACTGTGAAGTCGCTCGATTGAATTGTGCTAAATTCTAACGACCCATGTTGAGTTCTTATAGGAAAAGAAAGGGAACAAGAACAAGAACAAAGGAGACCAAGCAAGAAGAAGAAGGAGAAGCAAGAAAGAGAGAAAAAGTCGATGTGGGTTTTAGAGGAAAAGGGATGCTTCTTTTTTATAGCAATGGGTTCGGCGGGGGGAGGTGAAGAGAATTGAATAGGACGACCTCCCCCTTTGGCGTAAACAAGACTCAAACCCTTGTTTGACGCATTTCAACAAACATTTTGTGGGATTAAAAATAGGGTTCAGCCAAAAACGATTAAAAAACATTGGTTTAATCCTTACCTCAACTCAAATTAACAGCAACCAAACGCATCCCAAGAAACAACCAAAGCCAAAGGAAGCATGAAATAAATAGGTCTCTTTCCATGTTATAATATGGGTAAAAACAAACAATGCTGTTGATTTCCCCCCTTACTTCTATATTATATTTAAGATAAATAAATACTTAAATTATCATAATAACCTTAAAGACCACTTGATCCTCTGAAGAAGAGAAAATCTTGGACGGTGAAAGGGGTATTTAGGTATTTTGGAAGTATGCTCCTAAAAGTGGTGTGGGTGAAGTGAAGTCACCTCATGTCATGCTTAGCTGGCATTCACCAGCACCCTTCAATTTTAGTCAAAACACAGCATTTTGCCCCTGCCTCTGCCCCTGCCCCTACCCCTGCCCCTGCCCCTCTAGGCTCTAACTCTAATAAGTTAACCGAATCCCAGACCTAATTACTAAAATAACCTCCCAAAGGGCCCACACCCACAATTGGCCCATGTACCATACACGTCCTTTTTTATACACATTTTTATTTTCGAAAACAAATAAATGGAATTCTTGATGAATAGATGATAGCTCGTCTAGCACTCTAGCCCTAGCCCTAGCCTAGCCTAGCCGCAAACAAGTAACAAAAATATCTCTCATGGAATTTAATTAGTGTTTGGTACTTGGTAGTGCTAAACACGTATGTCTAAAATTGATTTCTTTTCTATTTTTTCTTCACCTAAACATTTATATATATATATATATATATATATTGGACTATTGGTTCAGAAAATATACAAATTGACCCACCATTCAATAGGGGAATAAGGCCCATTAAACAAACTCGGCCCACCACAGATTGCGTGAGCGTCAGGGGTTTTTTTATTTAATTTCTTTTAAAAAGCTTATGAATATTGGTGGGAGCAAGTGCAAATGTAAGCAATTCCAAGAAGGCATCATTATTTAGAATAAAATATAAATGGACGGTGTTGATGTAGCCGCTTATATGATATTTCTGCCTCGCAGGAAAGCAATCAACAGATATACACTATGTTTGGTTTATCTTGTATAGGTTTTTCTTTCTTTCTTTTCTTTTTTTTACCTTTTTCTTCAAACCAAACGTAGCTGGCACTCAGTAAATCTAAAGTCTGAAGTTTGAAAAGTTAAAAAAAAAAATCTTTGGAAAAGCTCTGAAAGTGTGGAAGTGTTCAGTGGAAAATTTATTTTTCTGTTTTTACAAACATTTGAATATATTGGAATTGTTCGGTAACTTGAATACTTTGATATCTGAAAAAAGTTATATTTTACAAACTTACCCCTCAAGTAAATATTTAAATAAAAGTAAACAAAAAATGATTAAAGTAAAATGATATTATACAAAAAATAATAACAAATATGATAATAAATCGATAAATAATATTAATAAAATTAAAAATAATGTTTAAATGATAAAATAGTAAAATGTATTATAAATATAATAAAAATATAAAAGAAAGATTTGCAAATAGTAAAATAATGTAAAAAAAGATAAAATAGTAAAAATTATAAATATAATAGTAAAAAACAATGTTTTTTGAGTTGTCATTGACCCGAACGGTCGGACCGTTCAACCTAGGAACCATCCAAGCAATTGGTTTCGTTTCCCCCTCAACCCAGCCCTTGCCTAAAAACTGTTGATTTGGTCAATGACCCACTGACCCGGGTGGTCGAATCATCGACCTGTTTAACATTTTTTTGGTTGTTTTCTTAAATTTATTTTATTTTTTAAGTTGGAATGGATCATCCATTCGAACCAAACGGTCAAACCATCAACCAAAAAACCAATGGCCAGTATAATTTTGATTCCAAGTCGGTTTTTAAAACCTTGGTAAAAAGTATCATAAATATAATAAATAATATAAAACAAACATTATAAAAAATATAAGAATAGTTTTAAATAATATAATTATACAAAATAAATATATTAAGATAAGGGATAGTTTTGAATTTTTCAATTTTCATGCTATACCTCTGAATCTGCTCAGGAGTAGCTTATTAGTGTTTGAAAATTTTCAGGGGTTTTCAGTGTTTGATGGTTCCGTTAAGAAGAACAACCAAATGACCACCAAACAGTGAAAAGTAAAACTTTCTGAATTTAGTGTCAATTCGGCGTTACCGAACGCTGCCTTAAATGATCGATCATAGATGCGTGTTGAACAACTTCAATTGTTTTCGTAGAAACGTTGACGAAGATGCTCTTTGAAAGTTGACAAATGTGCTGGAGATTCTCTGGAAGGAGGGATATGGCCCTCTCTATCCACGTTATTTTGCCCTGCCCGGTGACCCCACCTATATATATATATATGTATATATAATTCGGCTTGTCATTTTAATTCATAGAGGGGGCAGAATTGTCATTTAAAATTGTTGTGGGTGGATTGGGGGGAATAAAGATCAAGGACCTACATGCCCCCAAAACGACGGACATCACGTCGGAAATGGGGGTACGTGACAAAAATGCCACCTTCAGATGATGCCCCCGCAAGATTTCCTAAATCTTCCATTGTTCACTATTCCAGATTAGATTGATAGAGATATTCTAGAAAATAACGTTTCGAATCTTCCTATGACTAAACTACCCCTTCAAATTTTGGGTGTCTCAAAAGTCTCAAGCATGCCTTAAATTTACCATTTACTCCGTTTATGCCTGGTTTGGTTTCTGGGCGACAGAGCTCTTGAACCACCCACCATCTTCCTCCGGTTCATTGGGGCCACCACCCATGTCCCAAGTTCCAAATCCGGTTCAACCTGACCTCACCGTTTTTTATTTTGTTCATTACAAAATTTGTTTGTATCCGACCGTTATCTTGTTTTGATTTGATTTCTCTTTTTTCTTTCTTTGGGTCATACCACCTTTTCTTTTTCTGAAATTAATTTGTCTCTTCAGGGGCATCCACTAAGTTGGATGATTTGGGTCATGGCATTAGCATTTGAACCCACATGTTCATTGTCTAAAATGGAGTCTTTGCGGGAATTATAAGAAAAGAAAAATTGAAACCAATGTGCTGTTTGAAATTACAAAACGCCCATATTTCTGTTTTTAGTAGCAATTTGTAACCATTATACTTTAGATCATGTCGTTTCATCTTGCTTGAAAAAAAAAAGCACTTTCATTCGAACCTTTGAGCGTTTTATTTTATATTTTATTATTTTTGGTATATATGAACCTAACTTTTGAATTTTAATAAATATATATAGATGGTATAAGGCCTGCTGAAGTAATTGCCCGATTTTAGAATACAAAGTTGAGTCTATTTGTGGGACCGGACTTTAGCAGGGCTGAACCAGTTAATGCATTGGATGTAATACCTGCTTTTATTATCAATTTATTTGAACATACATGTATAATGAAAGAACAGATTGCTGAATCGTCAGATCATTTTGACTTTTTGGCCCTACAACCGTAGATAGATGATAGATCTCTAAAGTGGGTCCAAGCCACCGATTCACCATTGTTCTTAAGATTTAAGATTGTCCTCTTATAGTCTAACCTATATTTTTCATCAAGTCTAGCACTGTCTTTGTGTTTTGGTTTCCACTGAATTCCAACATTAGGCAAGAGTAGTAGTAGGAACTTGAATCACGTTTCTATGTGTTTCAACTTTCAATTGCAATTTTCTTTTCTTATTATTTACTTAGGCTGCGTTTGGGAATGGTGTAAATGTAATAATATACCCTTTAAATTATGGCATCTCTGATTCAGGTGATTGCAAAGTGGGATCAGGTTTTCACTTTGTTTTACACTCTCCTCGTTTGATAAGTAGGCGCTTCTCTCGATAAAATGAAGCGAATTTACTTGGAAAAAAAATCAAAGTATTTTTAAACCCTAAATCTCTGACAAATTTGCAAGTTTATTTATTTTTATTACGTTTTCAACGCATGCAAATCAGGATCATGCACCAAAATGGCATTTACACCGTTTCCAAACACAGTGTTATTTGCACGACAGTACTCTAATGGATTAGACATGGAACCTGAATAATTGGAGGTGTCCTTATGCAGTAGGCTACTGTACCTAATCACGCACAAATAAAGTAGGAGGTATAAAAGATCAAGAACCACATTGATTCCTTAGTTGAAACATAATTATAATAATGCCATTTTAAGAATACTGTAATGGATTACAATAGTACTTGGAGTCCAGCATTTTGAATATTTATTTTGTGTTAAATCAAAATTTCAAACAATCAACAAGGTCACATGGTTTATATTCATGTAAGGTATATCATATGATTTACTTATTATTAAAGATTTTAATAATATTATAAGATGTTATGAATTTAGCATCGGTTCATTTACGGTTATGCTATAGCAATTTCTACCATGGATTTTGATTATTATTTATATTTAGATGATAAAATTTATTATTGTAACTATGATGTAGCAGTAGGATGCACACAAGTGTCCATGAACTTAAAATCAAGCAACGTGCCAATTGGCTGGTTGATAAGGTTTTCAATAGCAAACACTTTTTGGATCAGATTTTAAATGCATGCAACATGGACACAGGGTTGGGGGTTATGGATTTGAGGAATGGGCTATCATCGCTGTGTAAGTGTAGCCCATGAAACCCAATTTTAAAAAAAAAAAAAAAGGTGGAATTTTTGTCATGTATATAGTGAAACTGTTACATTTGGAATTTTGTTCAGACTTCTTGAGAGAGAGACTGAGAGAGAGCTAAGCTCTGTACAAGAACATTATTTTTTGTGCATCACTTTTATTAATTTAGAAACAATAAAAAAAGGTGGCTCACATGAATGACTTTGGCTGTGGCAGAAATAAATACAAAGAAGAAAGAACCCACCACGGACACGGAAAGATAAACATTAAAGTTTGCATCCGTCCGAGAGTAGAGCCGTAGGTAAAATTGAAATTTCTTACAAGGGAAAAAGGA